GCTTTTTCCTCGGTCGGCAGGTCAATAACAGTATGTGTTTGTTTGAACAACATTAATGCCAAAGGGCACTGTACATACAAGTATTCTATAAAAGGACGTCATGAGTATTAATTAAACAATGTATATGCATACCCTTTTTATTTAGTGTCAAATAATATAAGCATGTAAGGTTCTCTGTTAGGTATTTTACCCTTCTTAATTAGTGTCAAATTATATAAGAGTTGTAAGTCACTCATGATAATGTTATAACCTAATTAGTACATCAAAGGTCCGGTCAATTTTGTAATTTATCAACCGTAACATTTACAAGAATTGTTTACACCTGTGACAAATATTCATATTACCGGTATTTTATTGAATAACTGTATCTGGATATATTCAATAAATAAGACATCATTCAGCAAAGATATGTTTATCTGTTTTCTGCATGTCACTTTTAACAACTTTTGAATAGCAACCAATTCAGTATCCGCCAAAAAATTTAATTGGGAAATTAAGAATCTGCCAAAATAAAAATCACCAAAATTTTTCATATACTTTGTTGCCCCTAAATTATGAAATTTAACACCCGCGAAAAAAAACCCGCTATACAGTACATGTAAACTAAGCAAAAGTTTCAAAGTTAATAGACCATGACTGTGGGGGCGGGACCAATTATTCTCCATGGAAATGAGATATGCCAATGCTTATACAACTGCATACCAAATATCACTGACTTACCACTAGTGATAATCCCTTTGAACTGACCTAATCACAAACTAATACATGTAAACTAAGCAAAAGTTTCAAAGTCAATAGACCATGACTAAGGGGGCAGGGCCAAATAATCTTCATGGAAATGAGATGTGCCAGTGCTAATACAACTGCATACCAAATATCATTGACCAACCACTAGTGGTTCACATTAAACTAGACCTAATCACAAACTAATACATTGTTGACGCCGCCGCCGCCAGAAATAGCATACCTATGTCTCACTTTTTGACTCCGTCAATGCAAGACAAAAACTGGATGTGAACTCATGTGACAGAAAGGGGTTAGCAGTTTGTCTCACATATAATTTGTGTTGCTCATGACAAGGAAAAATAATGATGTCATATTCTGTTGTGTCATAAAAAAAGAAAAAAATCCTAGCATGGACTGCAGCTTCTGCAAATTTGGAACATATCAGTGTGCAAGCTGTTATAAATATATATTTGTTTTATTAAATGATGGGTGATTAACTGTATTTTTCCGTAGATGGTGTTCTCCAAATTGTCAGTTACTTGTGTTTAATGTATTAAATAGAAGACCAAGTACTCATAACAGTAGCAAAATCTGGGAAAGATCCTCAAAAATGAGTATTATACCCATTTTTGGTATTTATAACCATAGAGCATGGTTCTTACTAGAAATTCACATTGTCTCCTCTGGAACTCAAACACAGGATCGCTGTATTACAAGTCAGTCAGTGCTCTAACCAACGAAGCTAAAGAAGTACCGACTTTCCTAGCTCAACTGCTTAATGCAGGCTAAGTATCTACTATTCAAGGGAAGCAATCCTGTCACACTTCCCCCACCTCAAGCATCATCATTCCATTATGATTCTTGCAACATACACCCTGGTGGGTTTTTAGTTGGGCCCCAAATGTAACCATCTAGAGCATGGTTCTTATTAAAAATCACATTGTCTCTTCTGGGACTCAAACCCAGGACCTCCATGTTACAACTGAGCACTCTAACCAACTGACCTCAAGAATTACATCCCAGCTCCTTTGTTCTACCAGGGGTGATCTGAGCCTGATCACCCCTACCAGATCACCCTAGCTTGAGCTTCTTTGTTCTGCATGCTTTCCTTTGTTCTGTAACATTTTGGCGGGAATGTCAAATCCACAATAAAACTTAGAAATATTTATACGGAAAAGACTAACTATCAAAATTTGTATAGAAAAAAAAATCCAGTGTCTATGCTAGGAATCGCACTCAAGACCTTTAGCATATAGACCCATGAGTCATACCACTACACCAGGATGACTGGATACAAACTCTCTGTTAATTTAACATATTTAAACATTGTGTTCGGGGCTCATAAAGGGTATATACTATATAGTAATATATAAAGTATATTATAATGATTGTGTGGCGTTCTAAACTAGATTTTATGAAGCGTAAATGGTTTTTTATCTAATCTAGAACAGCTGGAATGTAAAATAGTTATCCCATTCGGACTTGGTGTGTCAGTGTAAGATCACCCTCTGGCCTGTGGCCATCGGGATGATCTTACACTGACACACAGCGTCCTCAAGGGATAACTATTACGTACTGCCCTAGCTTAACTGCTTATGGACAGTATTTCACAGTGAAATATTGTCATTGACATAATTTCATAGTGAAATATTGTCATTGACATAATTTCATAGTGAAATATTGTCCAGAAGGAGGTGACAAAATTTAATGGACAAGGACACTATTTCATAATTATAAATATTATGCTGGCCAAGTATCAAGGGAAGCAATCCTGTCACTGTAATATACCCAAAATTGGGAATCAATTTACAGTGATACAAAATCAAATTTTGCATTAATTTTCTACATAATGGTAAAACTATTCTTATAAATGGCAACATTTTCCCCTTTATTAAGAGCCATAGTTCAAATGAAAACTAAATGCACACAGATAATGGCCTCTACAAATACTTATTTTTCAAGGCTTTTACATGTAACTTTTATCCAGATAATATTTCAGTCATGGACAGTTGGTGTCTTGGGGCAAAATGTTGTCATATGTAAAGTAAAATATTGTCCTATGAAATATTGTCCCCCAAGACAATATTCCATGACTACGTATCATGAAATATTATCCTCATCTATGAAAAAATGTCCAGAGAAGGACAAATTTCCATTGTGAAATTTTGTTTGTATATAGAAAATATTTCACAGATGAATGACATGAATGCTATGAAAATTTGTCCGGTTAAAGGGAGGTATTGAGAGACCGTATTGAGACAATATTTCATAGACAGATTGTTATGAAATTTTGTCTCATGAAGGGGAGGTTATCAACATATATCATGGTGGATAATGATCTTGTATTTGACTGATAATAACAAATAAAGACAAATTAATATTTCAGTTGCATTGTACTCCTGTACCTCCAAAACGCCGTCACAAAACGTTTTGTCAATCTAGTATTTACAAAAGCTATTAGTACCGTACATTCAATTTTGAACATACATAAGTGGTTGTCGGTACATAACTTATATTTTATACAATATGATGTAGTACAATGGAACATACGTTAGACAATTTTTTAATCTATAATTAAAGCATCTAAGAAAATTTGAAACTAACTTAATTTATATGTTAAAATAAATATTATTTTGAAATATAAAATACTTACTTTACAAAATAATTTCAGTTAGAAATCTAAAAATGTGCATGCTGCATGCTTGTGAACTATTTAAATTTTGAAATAACTTATTAAGAAATATTTTTCATGGACAGTATTTCACAGTGAAATATTGTCATTGACATAATTTCATAGTGAAATATTGTCCAGAAGGAGGTGACAAAATTTAATGGACAAGGACACTATTTCATAATTAAATATAGTCTAGTGTCCGCCCACAATATTTTATATGAAATATTGTCCAATGGACAATATTTCATGGAGGACAATATTTTATGTTACACATGCACCTGAATGTTTGCGCCATGACATCAAATATCTTCAAACCCAAAGTATATATTTTTTATCACGGAAAAATTATACCTGTTTTCAGTCAAGGGTGTAACTTGAATAAGTTATTAGAGAAAAATAACATACATGTGTTATTATGGATACTTTCTCTTATTATGTAGTAACATATGTTTGTTATCAGTTAAATGTACCATAAAAATTTTTATTTTCAGTGGGCACTTGGGAATTCTTGAAACTTGCGCAGTAACTTAATACATAACCTTGAAAACTAATTTTCCAATTCAATTAATACATTTTTGATCAACCATGGTAAATCAATGAGACAAGGCTTTTAAGTAATAACTTAGCTGTAATAACAATGCTTAGTTATTACAGGCATTTAACTTATTACATGAGACACTTGGGAATGACTAGGAAGCTTGTGCAGAACCTCATTACATGCTCTTATCATTATTTATTACAATAATGATAAGAGCATGTAATGAGGTTTCTTTGTTCTGCATGCTTTCCTTTGTTCTGTAACATTTTGGCGGGAATGTCAAATCCACAATAAAACTTAGAAATATTTATACTACCTCATTACATTGTGATATATGTAGGAGAAAAGGCTTTGAAGAGATGTAGAGAAGCTGTAATAACACCCTTTAGTTATTACAGGCATACTTTTTCTGTAATAACATGGGTGTGTTATGCATGATTGGCAAACTATGGGCTGTTATATCTTTCTAAAGTTTAATATACATAAAGATAATTATAATATCAATAGAACTAGTACTCGATTTAACAAAATAAAGGATGTATAATGCCCCTGTGAAACATGTAACATACATATGTTATCACAGATTTTTGATTTTTTAGCCCTCAATAACAAATGTATGTTATTTTTCTCTAATAACTTATTTAAGTTAGACCCTTGACTGGTTTTAGAGTTAGCTGCTGAACAGTAGCTATTTCAGTGTATAATACCCATTTATGAGGAGCTTCCCCAACCTGCTTAATTTTGAAAAAAAAGCAAGACTGATTTGCATAGCTTAATGATCAAACTTCACCCTCTTCCACAGGTAACATCTGCCTCATATTAATTTTTTGCTTAGACAGACATAGAATCATTTTTAGTCAAATAATTATGACGTCTTGAAAGGCTATTTTTTTTTTTCCGTGACGCCTTCATTCCTTTCAAGACGTCATAATTATTTGGGCTAAATCATTTTATATTCAGAGCAAAAATTTGTGTTTATACACTGTTTATAAATAGTAGGATCTGATTTCTGACTACAGCAGATTTTGAAATCCTAATATTCATTCAAACTAAATGTTTTACCAACTATGAAAATATGTCAGCCTACTCTGTTAAATTCAATTCGACAATTTCATCGCCTCGTGTTCCCGTGTTTTGGTCCTACTTTCATTTCACAGATAGGGGTTACACTAAAGACCTGAACGCGGGGAGGGTCTAAACTGCGGAAGTGGGAAAACGCGGAAGTGTAAAATTGCTATATTATAAGTAATTTCTCTGGAACTGCTTAAGATAAATTAACACTTGAAACGGATTTTGAAAGCTTATATGATATTCTATAAGTTGAATTAAAAAAAAAATAATTTTGATAATCATTATGACCAAAAAATTGACCGGAATCCTTGTTAAGCGTGACTCTGGCAATCCAATTTCGAATCTTTAAACTTAAATTCACGAAAAAACATATAACCCGGTTAAAATCTTAAAAACGATTTCTATAGACAATTTAATAACAAATAATACGGTATAAAAATAATTAGCAATACATTAGAAGAAAAGTGCAATATCTTGACCGGAAGCCTCTCTTGTATATAAATGAAGAAGTCAAAATTTCAACTTTGAACTAAAATTCACGAAAAAAATATATAGCCCGGTCAAAATCTTGTACATGATTTTTAAAGACAATTTAATAACAAATAAAATGGTATAAAAATAATTATCAATACATTAGATGAAAAGGGCACAATCTTGACCGGAAGCCTCTCTTGTATATAAATGAAGAAGTCAAAATTTCAACTTTGAACTAAAATTCACGAAAAAATATATAGCCCGGTCAAAATCATGAACACGATTTTTAAAGACAATTTAAGGCGAAGTGTACGCAATTAACTATTCCACAGAATTTTTTAAAATTTTACATGTGTATTCTGCTTGTAAAAATACATCAGAAAATGAAATAAAAAAAGGGGGTAACCGTTTTCGTTTTTGAGATAAGAGCTGTTGAAGTTAACGGCATGATTTGCCGAAAATACAAAGGTTATATAGGGGAAAACCGTGAAATTCGGCAGGAATTGTTACATTTTCAAGATTTTCTATTTTATTAGTCCACAGAATTTTTTTAAAAGTTAATATACGATTCGAAAATGAATGACGAATCGATTGGTGCAAAGAAAGTCCTTAGCAACCGTGCTACTTTTCAAGTTATATCCTGTTAAAGTTGAATCTTCAGTGTAAAAAATGGAAAAAATTACGACGACGTTATTGACGTCGCCGCAACGATTTCGACGCTATACATAGTTCAACCGTACTAGATTTCAATTGATAGGAAATATATACCGTTTTGGTTGGGTTCGTGTTGCTCGGTCTTTAGTTCATGTTGTGTTTTCTGTACTGTTGTTTGTTTTTTTTTCTTTTTAGCCATGGCGTTGTCAATTAAGTACTCAGTTTATTTTTGGCCCCTTTTGCATCTTCCGCCTCTTTTACAAAAAATTCTCTGAAAGTGACATTATCAAGATGCTTGATTTCTTGATTGACAACATATTTGTTACGTTTGGAGGACGTGTTTTTCAACAGACTGTCGGAATTCCAATGGGAACCAATTGTGCCCCTCTTCTTGCCGACTTGTTTCTTTATTATTATGAGGCTGACTTCATACAGGAGCTTCTTAGGAAGAGAGATAAGAAGTTAGCAATATCCTTTAACTCTACGTTCCGCTATATAGATGATGTTCTCTCACTAAATAATACAAAATTTGGTGACTATGTTGAACGAATCTATCCCATCGAACTAGAGATAAAGGATACTACAGATACAGTTAAGTCTGCCTCATATCTTGACTTACATCTAGAAATTGACAATGAGGGTCGGTTGAAAACAAAACTTTACGACAAAAGAGATGATTTCAGCTTCCCAATTGTGAACTTTCCATTTCTATGTAGCAACATTCCAACAGCGCCTGCATACGGAGTATATATCTCCCAATTGATACGATATTCCCGGGCTTGTGTTTCCTATCATGATTTCCTTGATAGAGGATTGCTGCTCACAAGGAAGCTATTAAACCAAGAGTTTCAAATGGTGAAGTTGAAGTCATCCCTTCGTAAATTTTACGGACGCCATCACGAGTTGGTTGACCGTTATGGAATAACCGTTTCACAGATGATATCGGATATGTTCCTTATGTCGTAACTACAATACCCTTCCCTTTTCAAGACTAGACTATTTACCGGATTTGTAATAACATAAGCAACACGACGGGTGCCACACGTGGAGCAGGATCTGCTTACCCTTCCGGAGCACCTGAGATCACCCCCAGTTTTTGGTGGGGTTCGTGTTGCTTAGTCTTTAGTTTTCTATGTTGTGTCATCTGTACTATTATTTGTCTGTTTGTCTTTTTATTTTTGGCCATGACGTTGTCAGTTTGTTTTCGATCTATGAGTTTGACTGTCCCTCTGGTATCTTTCGTCCCTCTTTTTACACCAATTATAATTTTAAAAGACATTTGTTTTGCTCCACAAAAAATAGAAATAGGTAAAATATATGTGCTGTGAGTGAAAGACAGAAATCGTTGGCTTTCATTAGTTCTCTCCATCCATGAGTTTGTGATTTCTCAATAGTTGATTTAATGATCCTTTCAGAAGGGATATAGATTGTAAGTACTTTAAGTTTGTGAAAATAAAACAATAGTTGTCTACACCTTTTGTGTCATTTCTAATTTAAAGTGACAGGCAGAAATATTTCATCCGAGTAAACACAGAGTTGCTAGAATAATGAACCTAACAAAATAAATCGGTGCCGAGGTGGATAATAATGTCGCAAATCGTTTATTTAATGTTTTCTACATGTTTGTTATTTTAGTCATGAAAGTAAGCCTAATCTTCTGCATCTCTTCATCTTTACAATATTCGGGTCTATAAATGCGAGATATTTAGCGCAATAAGGTTTTCCGACAAATACATTTTTTACTTGTAATCACATTCACGCGTTACAACAGGGTCTAGATGGGGGTCCTCCTTTTTCTTTTTCTTTAAATGTTAGACTATTTTCTCTATTCTGATTTCGCTCATTTTTCTCTATCTTTTTTAATTAGCACCCCATAATTCTCTATTCTATATCCCCCCTTTATTTCTATTCTTTATTTTTTTATGATGCACTTTTTGAACACTACCCAGACCTACATACAAAATTACCAAATTTCCAGCATAGAAAATTTAGCCTTGTTCCTTGATAAAAGCACGAAAACTGTTCTTTTTTTTACGGTTCAACAGAGTTGAAGAACCATTTTCTTCAATCATTATTTGTTCAGTATATGCAAGAACAGCTGGCTAAGAATAAGAAAATTGCATAACATCTTGTGAGTGTTCATGGTTGCAATAAACCAGGTCAATGTAAGAACCCGTGTATAAAATGCAAATAATTTGAGAATTAATTGATAAACTCAATATCGGAAAATGAAATTGACAACATATTATACCTTACATACATATTTTTATTGGTCTATAATCTAATACTATAGTATAACATGATTGCTACCAAATTGTTATAACATTTATGTTTTTAAAAGATCACACACACACACACTCACATATTTTAAAGATCACACCCACACTCACATATTTTAAAGATCACACACACATTGCATTATTACAGTGGAGATATTTAGTAAATATTGAAAATAACAATCATTTGACTTACCTGTCAAGTGTGGGACGGAACAGACTAGAAAGAGTGTTGAAAGTCCACCCTTGAAGGATACTAAGGAGGGAAAATCAGCTATTATGATGTTAAAGAGTTTCAAGGGTCAATTTTCCTTTGAAGAAAAACGTTATATATATATATATATAAAAGAATGAAATGTATATGTATGGTTTTCCAAGGACACAAATATCAAACGAAGACCAAAGGACGTTGTTGTAAGTCACTGTATATAGGGTGCGCCGTTTGCAATTGGCCTTCAACAATAAGGAAAAAATGTATAGAAATCCATAAAAGTGTGACCAGGGAAAATGCAGCTTCAGTTTAATATTTTGGACTTTAATATAAAATTCTCAATTTTGATAATTAAGACTTTATTTTTATGTGTTTTAAAATTCATTTAATTTTATATTTTCGTTTCTATTTACAATTAATATCCAGGACTTAAAATCAACATGCTTTGATATGCAATTTAATTTTCAGTTTGGAGATTGAGTGACATGTTTTATTCTACTAGCTAATTAATGACATTATACCTTTTTCATTATTATATATTTTTAAATATCATAATCAGATTAGTAAATTAACTTTATTCTTCAAGTTCTAAAAATAGTTTAATCCTTGTCAGTGAACAATATTACTCAAATTAATTGTTATTTGTTATGTCTATACTTGTCAATTCAATTGTGTATAAATACTTGTTTATAATTTTTATAAGCAAGATTTGGACTCAGGACTTTACACTGAACACAGTCCATCTGTAATAAAAGTATCCATGCTGAATTATTGATTTATTCATCGCTAGTTCCAGAGTCTCAAGAGTCAGTTTTCACCAGAATTTCAGTCTCAGAAGTGTCATTGCTATTCAGAGCAATCGTTCATTCTGTGATCAGGTGCATCACACAGTTTCAGTAACAAGAGGCCATTCAGTCAGGCTTTTGTTACACAACCTCACAAGTCACCCAGTTTCCCCGGTGACAAAAGTCCCAGACTTGACAAAATGTAAAACAGTACTCCTATTTATTGTTTTATGGTTAAATTCCTGGACAAAGATGTATATTAGAACCCGAGATTCTAAAACAAAATGGTTTATTAATGCACTCCGATTCATTATACAAATGCAAGTCTTAATATGAAGTACATCAGCAATTAAATATTGACCAGTGTCATACTCATATTTTGAGAATCTGCGCTCACAAAAAGTATTTTCAAACTTTTTTACCTAATACAATGTATACTAAGTTTTATTTCTGAAACAAAATATAAAATTTCAACAAAAGTTTCTATATGGACATCAGCATATTTAGTTAATTTGTTACACAACAGTTTATCCAATCCCTACTCATCCTTTTGAAGTGGTTTGTGTTTAATAAATTATTGAACAGACAGACAGATGGACGAACCAAATAAAATGTATATATCTAATTCATACGACAGTCTCCTGATTTTCTATTTCGTCTTTTATAAACTGTGCAGCAGCAACTAAAATCTTTTTGTTCTTTGTAACTCTGACCTTCCCGTATATTTCTTCTGACATGACATTATATACACCATCTACTCCTCCTCGTCTAAAAGCCAGTTTTAAATGCTGAATGTTAAGTCCGGATCTAGCCATTTTTTTAGTCATACCCTCTGAGATCGGCAGCACTTTCAGCGATTCATAGTTCTTATTGGACACTTCAACATTTATCAAAGCCTGATAAGCAAAATCAATAGAAAAACTATGGGGTTGTACACGAACAAGAGAAAATCCTGGCTTTCTGAATAGTTCCTGTAAAGCCAAGACATCTCCCAATGCGTTATGTGCATCGTAAGTGAAGTTTTCGCCGAGGAAATCCTTTACCAATTCTTCCTGCTTGAAGCTTTTTCTCTCTGACTTTCTTTCGGGGTATGCAGCTCGAAACACATGTAATGTATCTACGAATCCGTTGCACTTGGCTTTGAAATCATTAATCAAGTTTTCATTCGTCAGAGCTTTAATGATAATTTTTGAATCAAAAGATTTAACGTTATGTCCAAACAACACAGCATTTTCTGGTAACCAAGTGATTAACTCTATCAAACATTCTTTTCTGTTTTGGTGTGGTACTGGTATACCATTCCTGTAAAGTACATTCCCTATTCTTGTTAAACCTGTTACCTTTGACGCTCCTGTGGTAATAGGCTGTAGCGGCATAACGTATTGGCTAAATTTTTTGTTGAAATGATATAGTTCAGTGATTCGTTGCTTTGGGAACTACCAAGATTGGCCAATTTGTTAGTATTATCACTGTATTTTGAAAATGCAGTTTGAATATCTTGTTGCAATTCTTCTCCTTTTAAATCCTTGCCATGCCTGTATCCGGTCGGATCTTTGATGTAACCACACCAACTGGAACACAGACTGTGGTCTCCAAATGCGTGTGGTACAATGGCATCAATGGTAGACTTTAAATTTTCAACATCCCCTTTATTTTGTTTAATTGCGTACAGCATGTCCTTTACAAAATAATCTATTACAGATGTAGATATGTTTCTTTTGTGTTTTTGGTGCAACTGTAGGAGATTTCCTGTAAAGTTTTTACGAAAATGGTTGGAATCACTGCGTTTAATGACATCATGGTCAACTTCTTGGCGCAACCTTGCCATTGTAGTGGTGTCATCGTCCATTGTCAATGAATTTACCATGTATCCCATTTCCTCTATGTCCTTAACCTGCAGAAGAGAATGTGGAATAATAAAACTAAAAACGTCAGAACATCAGTTCCTACGAATACCTGAAATTTTTTTAATTTTACATGACCAAACAAAAAATTTTAGTAGTATACGTTAGGTTTATAGAATTTGTTTCTATCGTATCTTTCACCTTGGCGATATGAGGACAACAGATACTTTTTTAACGATTAACTACAATTAGTGCCTAAACAATCATGTGTGTTGTTTTTTTTCCGGCTGAAATGATAACAAATAAGGACTAACTGTCATACCTCCGACAATATGATAATGGGATCGTTGATTTAAACTTTATTTCAAAATGATATATACCCTGCGACGAAGACGACGATATCGATATCGATGATGTACGACGATGAGTAAAAAGTATAAAATATTAAAAAGTTCCTACCATTTCAACAGCTAATGCTGGTTCCATTGCCTTCGAGCTTCCAAAATAATTTCGTCGGCAGTCATGTTCGTCTCTGGCATCACCCTTTTCATCGATATAATTGCACTTCCGGCAATCAGTGGATTTTAATCCAAAGTGTAGACACTTTCCAGATACGTTACCAATGACTGTAGCATGTCCTGGAATGAAATTATAGCTATGTAGTTCCATATTAAATGTAAAAAGTCTATTTATAAAGATTATTGTTGTCACACTGTATGGAATGAATTTATAAATATATATTATTTTTGGTTCAGAAGACAGGGGCGCATCCAGCCATTTTTAAAAAGGGGGGGGGTCCCAACCCAGGATAAAGGGGGGAAGGGGGGGGTCGGTTCCAACTATATGTCCCCATTCAAATGCATTGATCGTCAAAAAAAAGGAGGGGTCCAACCCCCGTAACCCCCCCCCCCCTCTGGATCCGCCACTGGAAGAAATGCGTTTTGATTAATATATTTCTGATCGCTTTACTAACCTTCATAGGTTTGGGTGTCCGACGGAAAATAAGTTGCTTACAATCATAATATTTGTTTTACAAATGCAACTGCACGGAAGTATAGTTTCAAAAAATTTGTATGAATGCGATAGTTGTAGTGTTTTATTAAAAAAATACTATTATCAGCACTCTGATCATTATTTACTTGTGTTAGACAGTTGTGTTAGCATGGTTAGTGTCAAAGCGTACATGACAGTGGTTAGAGCTGGGACTATTATAGTAATAATAGTATAAAAGTCCTAGGTTAGAGAGAGAGAGACCATGTACGAGAAACAACAGACACATTTCATCCTTTAAAACATATAGATTACCATTTGTGCTGTTATAGCTTCTTCCGCTGCCTCTCTTTTGCCAACCTCCATCAAAAGAAACATCCAGGGATTTGTTCAATTGGGTATCTTCTTCATTCGTTCTGTCATTTCTGAAAAAAAATCAACAGAGGGTGTGATTTTTCGTGTCATTTGCAAAATAAACGTCAAATATAACATCGTCATGAATATGCATGAAATATTTGCCACTGGACGTTAAGCAACCAACAATCAATCAAATGTTAAATACATGCACCATACGACCTTTTGGTCACCAGTCTTACTTTAGAATTAGAATAATCTAGGTTTCTACCAAATATTAACTGTAAGATGTATTTATGTAACACACATTATTTCTGGTAGAGCTGGGGGTTCGACTCGTTGGTCTTGCGGTAATAATCTTGCTTAGAATAACGCATGTTGTAATTTCAATCCCCGGCTTGTTCAAATCAATATAAAAAAGATGTCACAGTGGTATGATTCCCAATGAGACAACTCTTAACAAATGACACAGAAATTAACATCTATAGGACTGGTCACAGAACGGCCTTCGAGAATGAGCAAATACACTTACCGTGTTTGAAGGCCTGATAAAAAGACACATACAATTTCCGGTGCGTGTTTGTATCTGTTTTGGCGTTTATTGCATAGCTATATCACTGGTGTGTTTTTTTCTTAACTTGAGAACAATAGTATAGGGCTAATTAGAACAACGGGCTATATTATAGTTACCTGTTCATTAGATATTCCTCCTCTAGAGCCTTCTTACAAGATGTACGTGCATATTCTTCTATTGTTTTCCCAATCTCTCTCTCCCTTGATTTGAGATTATTTGGACTGATGCATGGTACGTTTAAAGCTGTTACAAAATTAACAGTTTGAACGGGTCCCATACCTGCATCGAGATAAGCTAAAAAGAAAAGAAAAATTAAAAATCGTGATTTCTCTGAATCGTTTGTGTGTTATATGAAACTAAAAGAAGCAAGACAAAACACAAGATATCATTTAAACCGTCATTGTTTTATGTCAAAATATGCCGTATCCTTCTGTGTGTGAATTGATTCACTATGCACTAGGTTTGATCATAGTTAACCATATGGGGTGAGAGCGAAACTCGAATTCCCATATGGAAATAACTGACCCCCTGTATATCGTATTAGGTCACTAGCACACTATGGAACGAATTTATCTTACCGACTATCTTAACATGTGGTATTTAGACTAGTGGCCTAGAACACCTCTTGATTACCGTTAGTATTAAGAACCAGTTCAACCTACTTCCATTGGGAGAAGGTTTGGAACCATTAAAACGTTTAATCCCGCTGCAATTGTTTGTACCTGTCCTAAGTCAGGAATATGATGTTCAGTTGTTGTCATCTGTTTATGTGGTTCATTAGTGTTTCTCGTTTTTATATAGATTAGACCGTTGGTTTTCCCGTTTGAATGGTTTTACACTAGTAATTTTTGGGGCCCTATATATATTATAGCTTGCTGTTCGGTGTGAACCAAGGCTCCGTGTTGAAGGCCGTACCTTGACCTATAATGGTTTACTTCTATAAATTGTTACTTGGATGGAGATCGAGTTGTCTCATTGGCACTCTTACCACATCTTCCTATAATATCTATTTATTAATTTATTTCAATCGTTCACCATCATGATTGCATTGTCTGTTGAAACCTTTAAAGATTTTTCCTCAACACCGTGTTGTTTTTATAAAGGGTCGTAACACCCCTTCTAACCGTGTATTGAAATAAGCCCCGCCTCCCTACTAACCTAATATGGATTATACACGGTATCCACGTGGTTGCTTTTGACCAATCATATTCTTAGAAATGTATAGGAGGTAAGATAAAAGTTTATACTTGTCTCACATATTTTATGCATACAGTATTCCAGACTATATATGATGAAGGCATAATCTTTCAATAAGTTTAATTCAGGTCTGGAGCTGGCATGTCAGTATTTACTTCTAGAAGTCCTTTGTTAATTTATGTATCATTGTCATTTTGCTTATAGTTTCTTTTGTTACCTATTCTGACATCGGACTCGGACTTCTTTTGAACTGAGTTTTTCTGTGCGTATTGTTGTGTGCTTGTTTTTTTCTACATTGGCTAGATGTATGGGGGGGGGGGTTGTTGTTCTCAAAACACATGTTTAACCCCACCGCATTTTAGTGCCTGTCCCAAGTCAGGAGCCCCTTGCCTTTGTAAGTCTTGTATTATTTTTAATTTTAGTTTCTTGTGTATATTTCAGAGTTTAGTATGGCGTTCATTATCACTGAACTAGTATATATATTTGTTTAGGGGCCAGCTGAAGGACGCCTCCGGGTGAGGGGATTTCTCGCTGCATTGAAGACCTGTTGGTGACCTTCTGCTGTTGTCTGTTCTGTGGTCGGGTTGTTGTCTCTTTGACACATTCCCCATTTCCATTCTCAATTTTACCTAGTGTAGTGCTATAAGAATGTATCTAGTGTAGTGCTATAAGAATGTACCTAGTGTAGTGCTATAAGAATGTACCTAGTGTAGTGCTATGAGAATGTACCTAGTGTAGTGCTATAAGAATGTATCTAGTGTAGTGCTATAAGAATGTACCTAGTGTAGTGCTATAAGAATGAACCTAGTGTAGTGCTATAAGAATGTACCTAGTGTAATGCATATATACATGTAGATACTGTTCATACTGTAATGCTATACACATTTACCTAGTGTTGTGCCATAAGAAGTGAACATGCATATAAATTATAATGCAAATGAATCACTCTGAATACTGAATTCAGACTGAATATTTAGTGTAATGCGATAACATTACTTATCATTTGTGTACGTTAAAAATTACCATAGGTATATAATTGTGTTAATTTGGTAGTAGCTAGTCTTGCAGAATTTATAAAAATAAGATTTTTTTTAGATTTTTTGTTTAGGTCTTTAAAAGATACGAAAATGTAAGAATCTTATTTTATTTCTCACTGCTTTACTTCTCACTATTTCGAATGGCCAACTCTCCATAACCCGGAAAGGGTAAAAATTGCGGTAGACGTGTCAGACTACTTTTTTTTCTTCTAAGTAATCATCTTTAATTATACACAATGCAAAACAAAAGAAAACTCTTTCGCGAGCGCTTCGAAATTTGAATTTAAAAAATAATCATCAAACAAGAAATGTCATATTCTATTTTTATCAAACAGGTGTAGTTTCAGTTTTATCCAGGACTCTAAATTTAGATTTGACTTTCCCAAGAAATTGCGGACGGAATAGAAGACACCTAGTTTCTGCATAAACAAATACACATCTTTCACTGTTGAGTCAACTTTAAATGTAGATTTTACTAATCTACTATACACACGATACATATAAGAGTGGGCTTTTTCTTTTGTGTTTAACCTTTAGTTAATGTGTATAGTATTTTGTATACTTTTTTTGTCGCCTTTGTTATTTTCTGAGTGGCGTCGTATATCGTTCTTCTTGGCTTGGCATTTTACAATTTAACAGTAATATGAAACATGTGTTTAAATTCATAATAATTGCATACATATAATATTACTTTTTTTATATATATACCTAAACTCAGCTTTGTGTTGATATCAAACACTAACATGCCAACATCTTTCCCTGTCTGTCGATGTTGTTTCCCTGTTGTAACTGTGTTAACGTATGGGCAATTCACACACTGGATGTAAAGGAAACTTCCCAACCCACATCTTTTTTCACCACAGATCATGTGTAATAGCAGTGGGGAAAGACAATGTTTACAAGATTTCATTTGCTCTGCCAAATGTGAAAGTTCAACAACCCTTCTTCCAGCTGTCCAGTCATCGGGATAAGGGCTCTCCGACTCCGGTATGTCCGATGCGGTGTCATTTCTAACGGGGTCAGGTCCACTGTCAGAAGCAATCTCAGAGTTCTGGTCTAAGTCAATACGATTTTTTCTTTTGATTTTTGAAACTGCACATGTATACCTGTTTCTAATAAATTGCCCACAGTTATTTCTCGGTTGTGCGTCCATCTTTCATTTCGTGGAGTAAGGGGAATAACTCGCGTAGCTAACGACGCACGTTTTATTTCCCGAATTCCGCTAGAGGCGTGCAATTACGTATACTTCGCCTTAATAACAAATAAAATGATATAAAAATAATTATCAATACATTAGATGAAAAGGGCACAATCTTGACCGGAAGCCTCTCTTGTATATAAATTGTTGATTAATAAATTGATAACTTTTTTCTCTCCTAAATACTTAACAAACTATCATTTATTATAATTCATATAATGCATACTATATTATATAAGATAACTCTAGTTCAGGGAAAGCGTGTTCGCGAC